TATTTTAAAAATAAAAATGTTTTAGGAAGTCATGATGATGAAGATCAAGATAGAACAGCAGAAATGTTTAAGTACATGTGGTAAATTTCTAGAAGACTCCAGAGATAAACAGAACGGAAGGAAACAAAATAGAGACAGGAAAGCAATAAACTTTTAAGTGTGTATAATAAACTCACACACAGTCAACTTAAATACTTATGAAAATTGGTCTGAGTACAAAAATACAGCACAGATAGAACTTATAATACATTTACAAATAGGTATAGTAAATATTTATTGTAAGGAGAATGGTCTTCATAAAGAAAAGCTTCAGAGGGCATATTAGATTTGTTGGCTCTGGTGAAGCCTAGGAAAGTATCAAGGATAAAGAGGAACTAATCACCTCTCCCATGAGTGTTTTCCCATGAAGGACAGCACGACTGAAACCTTCACATGCAAAAATAATCTGGTTGCTGGTTACCCAGTGAGACCATGTTGCTTCCAGATTTTAATTTACATAGAATATGGTGACGATATTCATGAGGAGAAAGAGAAAAATCATTCCTTCCTTATCCATATTAGGCTACCCCACACACATAATTGATTTGCTTGTTTCCCATCCCTTCTCTCCTCTTCCTTTCAAGAAGTTAGCCACTTTGTGGTCCTAGATGGCTCATCATTCTTTGTCAGTATCTCTCAGTAACTTCGTGGTAACATTAAACATTCTCAGATGAATAGAGTTAAAATGTTTTATTCAATCTCCACGATCCAAAGGACTAATAGTTACAAGACAAGAAGGACTGACCAAAAGACAGACAACAAGACAACAAGATTATGACCAACCTATCTCCCCAGTGGACCCAGGAATAAGGAGGGGGTAAAGGTCTGGATATACACTGATCACTTAAGTGTGCCAGGCAATGGTTTAGGCAGTGGACAAACATAGTTTCACTTACTGTCACAGAACCTCTATGAGGAAAGGATCTTTTCTGTTTTAGAGATAAGAAAACAAAGGACCAGTTTTGTCTGAACGTAAAATGCGTGTTCTCCTTCATGCTAACAATCTGTTTGAATGTTGGGAGTACATCAGGGTTTATCTTCAAGTGGGGAAAAGATTCAGGGACAAGGAGGAGAATGGAAATGGCATGAGAAGAAATAATTATCTTCATTTGTTTACTTATTCTCCTGGGGCATATTGGGAGGGAGTCAAACCTCTATTCCCTTCAATAACCAACACTCAATATTTGAAATTATTTATGAATATTTAATCTATAAATATTTCTTGACTGTCCCCGGTGTTCATAATATTATTCTAGGCTCTACGACTATAAAAATGAAAAAGGCCTGGTCCCAGGTCTCAAGTTGTCCATTGCTGAGTAAGAAAGACAAATAGATCAAAAGCGAGAAGTTCAGGTTACATATGAGACCATTTGCATTCATGAAGGAGTGAACACAAAGAAAATACCTAACGTGGGGTCACCAGGGAAGGCCTCACAAAAACAAAATATATAATGAGTCAGAATTTGCCATGCAAAAAAAAAAAAAAAAAAAAAGAAGAAGAAGAAAAAGAAGAATTTGCCATGCACAGGAGACATGTAAGACAATCAGAAAGGGTGCCATGGTGGCTGTTTGGACTTCATCTGGAGGATGACAGGGAATCATTGCTTTAGGCAGAGTAACATCATCAGCCTTTCATTTCAGGGAAGGTAATTCAGGGGGGTAGCATGGAGGATGGGTTTGTGGAGGGCTATACAAAAGGCAGAAGAATCTTACAAAAAGGAGGTTAGTGGCTTGAGATGTAATACAAAGGCCTGCACTGGGGACGTAAAGGTGAAAATGGAGGGAAACCATGACTTAAGAAGGCATGGGACTGAGAGTCAGTGTAGGAGGGGAAAGGAGAAGAAGGACTTTAAGATGATTCCTAGGCTTGAGCAACTGCATGGGAAGATGGTAACATTCACCAGCCTAGGGAAGAGAGGAGGAGGAAGTTTGGCAGTTGGGGGAACAATTAGTTTCATCAGGAACACATTGTTTACAGGGCAGCAGGAGAGAGAAGGCTAGACTCAGGAGAGGGGTATATACATGTCAGCAGTAGCTAAAACCATGGAGAGTGAGAGTGGGAGTACATGAAGAATCCTGGAGAATGGGAGTAAATGAAGAATTCTGGAGCATGTCAGTATATAAGGTAGTTGTGATGGGTAGATGAGGATATAACAAAAAGGGCCAGAAAAGAGTAGACTTACCATCAAACAAGAAGGTAGGGATCAAATGAGATAAAGATGTGAGTAGTACAGAAAAATCAAACTATCAAATAGTATAATTAAGAACCCATGGCTATCTGAAGATCAGCACTTTTAAAAATTCATTTAAATTCTAGTTAGTTGACATAGAGTTCAATATTGGTTTCAGAAGTAGAGTTCAGTGGTTCATCATTTACATAAAACACGCAGGTCTCATCATCACAAGGGCCCTCCTTAACCCTAATCACCCATCTTGCCCATCCCCGACCCATCTCCCTCCATTAACCCCCAATTTGTTCTCTATAGTTAAGATCTTGTCTCTCATAATTTGTTTCCCCCTCTCTTTTTCTGCCTCCCTGAAGACCAACATTTTGATATTTAAAGTACACAAAATAACTTTCAAACCAGTAGGACTGTCCATTCTCTCCCAAAAGATTTAGGATTAAGAACCAGACTAAGCTATAAGAAAAACAAGACGATATTCTGCCAAGAATAGCAGAATCACCAAAGATTAAAGCTGATACACTATCAGAGGCACCAGAGGGAAAAGTACACTTTGACTGATGATGTTAAGTACAATATATGTGCAATGGTCTCCCATCAGACAAGTGCCTACCCTTCCCTTATCAAGAAGGCAGAAGGCCAGTTCTTCCCCAGGGCCATGGCTGGGTAGACCAAAGGGAGACACCTGCCTCAAAGCCAGCCCATACTTTGTGTGGCCTATGAAGGGGAAGATGGTCTCTCTGACAAGTATGCACTGGATAGTTGTTGGGCTTTAGAACTGAAAGTTTGCTTGGAACTGGAGCCAGATCTGTCCCCATGGCAAACCAAGGTCACATAAAAGCTACGGTTACGGGTGAGGCAGTAACCAAAAGAAAGTCAAGGAGGATAACAAAGCATCTGTAAAGAAGATGCCACACACATGGAGAGAGAAAAAGAGAGGGAGAGAGACAGAGACTCTATTGACTTCCTCCCAGCTCGCGTCCTTGAGGGGATGGCTGCATTTCCCACATCGGACTCTGGAGTCTTCTCCGCATCCCTCCAAGGGCTGAGTGGACTTGGACTCCCTGCAGCTGTCTCCTACAACTGTACTGACATTCACTGAGTGTCTCCTCTGTGCCAGGCACTGCTCTATACGCTTCGCTAATTTATTTAAGCCTCAGAACACCCTATGTTATGTCCATTGTACTGAGGAGGGGGCTCAGGCAAAGAGAAGGTAAATAACTTGCTCAAGACACACGGTTTATCACGGTGGACCTTGTCAGAAATAATCTTTTCCTGCAGACGTTCAGATTTCTATCCTCTTGAAGAAACATGAATGCCTCTGTATGCCCACCAATCCCTGGGCTAAGCACTAGGGATGGAAAGAGAAATCACTCAAGTCAGAACATGGTCTTGTCCTCAAGGAGGTCTCCATGCAAGTAGAATGAAGCACAGAGAAGCCCAGGGAGGAAAGGAAAGACAGGAAGAGAAGGTGGGGGGGCAGGGGCAGGATAAGGAAGGGAGGGGAGAGGCAGGAAGGGGGGTGGTGGAAAGGAAGGGAGGGGAGGGAAGGGCAGAAAGTATCAGTCCTGGAACAAGAGGAGCAGATAAGAAGCAAAGGAGACTGACAATAGAGAATGAGATCAGAAATAGACGAGAAACAGCTCTGAGGTCTGAGGAGAGCAAACCATTGCCCAGACCTCGGGAGACCGTAGAGGGCCGTCTCAGTTTAGAAAGCGGATGCTCGAAATGCTTGCCAACAGCCTCCAATACCACAGTGGTTCTGAAGGGCTTAAGTCAACAATAATTAAAGGGTCACGGAGTGTGGCGAGAGGTCCAAGTGGGTTTTTGAGGAATCCAGGAAAGTGCTCATTAGAGAAATAATAGGTTTAAAAATACGTAAACATATAGAAAGCATGTTTGAAACATGCCAGGCCTAAAAAGCATGAAACCACATTCTAATTGTTCCATCAAGGCAGAACTGGGTCCTATTTCCCTTTCCTCCCTCTCCCTGCCTCCTGAAGGGTCAGAGGTTTCTCTGGGTGAGCAGGATGCCGGGGGCGGGGGGGGGGGGGGGGGGCGGGGGGGGGGGGGGGGGGGGGTGATAGAAGCACAAGGTAGAGAGAGAGGGGACCGCACTCCGGTGTGTAGGGCTCACCACCTGCAAAGGCAGCGGGGTGTGGGGGTGGGGGGGAGGGCAGAGGGTCATTTTACATTGATCACAACACAGGGCTGGACTTTTATTTTTTATTTTTTTATTTTTGAAGATTTTATTTATTTATTTGACAGATAGAGGTCACAAGTAGGCAGAGAGGCAGGCAGAGAGAGAGGAGGAAGCAGGCTCCCTGCCGAGCAGAGAGCCCGATATGGGGCTCCATCCCAGGATCCCGGGACCATGACCCGAGCCGAAGGCAGAGGCTTTAACCCACTGAGCCACCCAGGCGCCCCAGGGCTGGACTTTTAAATGACTGGGTAGAGACTGCTGTTGCTGTTTTCAAATACACATGTCTGTAGGACAGTACAGTTGATCAAAGTGACCCGAGTTCTCACCCAGAGACAGGAGAACAAATTCCCTCTGGGTGGGAGATTCCAAGAGACAAAACTTCCAAGAGATTCCAAGAGACAAAAACGAAGTTACTTTTTAATTACATTTCATGAGTCTTGCCTCGCACAACATCCTGATTCCACAAGAAAAGCTTCCTATTTTAAAGGCCGCCCCTTTGGTTCACCAGCTTCGGTGGGGAATCAAAACCTCCCATGATTATCATTTGGAAAAGAAGACAGTCCCCCATTTCCTACCTTGATCCTTTCTCTTTAATGGCAAATTTGCTAAGAGCCGTATTTCGTCCAGAAGTCGGTTCTGATCTGTCTTCCGTAGGGGATCCAAATCCGGCACTAAAATGAAAACTATTTGTTCTTAGGACAAGATAAAACTCATCATTGATTTCCATCATGAAAAATAATAAAACATTACATTTGCTGGGCATTTTGTCATTTGGAAGACATGTTTCTTTGCCATGACATGCCCGGGCTCCCTTTCCCTTCATGAGGCCGAGCACCAGGCATGACTCCAGCAAAGATAATCAAACAAAGCCAGCTCACAGCTCCTATGTCCTGTGCTTCAGGGCTCACTGGAAGTTCCCAGCACACGGCACCCAAAGCCTACTTGTCCCAGAGATCTTTTCCACAGCAATTTAAAGGGGCAATTATGAAATGATTGTACTAGAAGCATGAAAAGAATTAACTGGCCCAAATCTACACTCTAAATTCGTTCTTACTCCCAGACTGAGGGGAGAATTATTTGAGTACAGAAGAGATACCCTTTTCTTACTTTGCCTTTTCTTTGCTTGCTCTTCTTAAAGATGATGAGGAAGAAATACTCCGTCCGTAACCGATATCTGATGACTTATCTTCCATAGATGGAGGTGGAGAACTAAAATTTTTGAAATTATATACAAGTTAAAATGCTTTATGTTTCAATACCAGATTTGTCCTACAAAACAGATTTTTTTTTTTTCCGGAAAATCATAATGGGAGCTGACTTTTAACAGTGACAGAATGAAAGCATAAAGGAGAGGTGAAGGTAGGACAAAAAGATTACTGTTCATGAACTAGAACTGGAAATATTTTTATAAAATACATCACATGAAATAAATTATGACAGATATATAGATATACATGAACATTTTAAGGAAGCATTTTAAAGCTTTAATTTTTAGCTTTACTATTTATTTCTTATTTTATATTAAAAAAAACGACAACACAGAAAACCTCTGGGCTGAAGTTAGAGTCCCGCATACAGTTGTGGAGCCCTATAAACATAATTCGTTTTGGTTTGCTCCTATCTACTTACACTTTCTTCAATTACTTCATGTTACCAGCAGGGTAAGAAGCATGGAATACAGAAATACATCTGGAATTGAGTGGTAAAAGGGAGTCAGAGGAAAAACCACGCTGGTGGTGATTTCATGGTCTTTACTATGGCAAGCTATGAGTTTATGGATTGGTGTTTGTTTTTGGGGTAATGCCAGGGGGGCAAAAGGATACCGTCCTGGAAATCTTATATATTCATGTGATGATGGACAGACAAAAAGCCTTACGTGTTTCCCTGCATCTCTCCTCCCCCACGACACTCACATGTCGGATTTACTGTTAACTAAGAGTACAGCACGTAGATCACTGGGTTCTTGTAAGCAGAGGTCCTTCAAAGGCAAAAGTTTGGTGCCGGGATTAATCTGTAGGTAATTTAAGAACAAAAAAGTAATATCCACATGGGTTATATTGTTTTAAGTGAATACTGATGTTCTCGACTGTTTGAAGTAATGTAATTTCACACACACAAAGGCACACTCAGAAAGAGGAACTTGAACTTGTGGGCAGCTCGCCTCCGGTTCCCCACAATCTGTATTGTTTTATACTCTCAGCTGTTTCGCACCATCATTATCAGTTCGGCCCCTGAAAATAGTTGAGTTTTTGATGTATGTACTGTATATATAAGAGAGAATTTGTCTGTGGAGTAACTAATTACTAAACAGATGACTGACAATGTTGTGAGGATATGCAAAAACAGGCTTCTCCAGGTCCTGTATTAGCAAATTTACCAGCCTGCTGAGGTGAGTTAGACCGCATCACCTTCTAGGGTCTTTCCCCAATTGTATTATACTGAGATCCCTGTCTCATCCAAGATACTTTACAAGATCCTTTAAAAATCAGACAGAGCATGTCATTTTTCTGCCCACAACTCTGCCAAGTTTTCCTACTTCATTCAGAATAAAGGCGAAACTCCTTCCCGTCGTCTACAAGACTTACATGGTCTGGGCTCTACCTCTCTGGGTTAGTCCTTACTAGTCGGCTTCTTGGGTCACTCAGCTACAGCTACACTGACTGCTGTTTCTTAACTACGCCAGGCACACATATTCCTCTGCTTGGAAAGCTCTTCCCCCAGCCGTTCCCACAGCTAAGTCCCTCAACTTTTTAGTTTTTGCCTTCCTGACCACAATTTCCAAAATTACGGTGAACATCAACCCCAGTCCCCACCCAGCACTATAGAGCCCCCTTATCCTGCCTCTGTTCTACTGCCCCCCCAAGCTCTGATCATTTTGATCATGTGATAAACGTTATTTATCTCTTTGTCATGTTTACTGCTTATTGTCTGTTTCTTCTCACTGGTGTCATGAAAGTAGAATTTACTGACATCTTCAACCTATAATACTAGAAACTTAATATTTACTGAATGAAGGAATCAGAGTTCTCCTTTATAAAGATATTGTTTCATTAAATTTTTAAAAAACTGTATGAACAAATACATTTGTCACAGTTTTATCTGATTTATGGCAACATTTTTCTGAGAACTTGTTCTTTGTTGGTTTTTCTGCTCTTTTCCTCATCTCTCTCAGAGCATCTTTGTACTAATAATGCTGTGCTTGTTCTTTTTTGAACGATGCATCACTGAATGAGATGGGCTTTCTGAGAGCACTGATTTCTCAGTGGCCTGTGTGTGTGTGTGTGTGTGTGTGTGTGTGTGTGTGTGTTATGTTAGGTCGGGTAGTGGCAGCAGCCAGGGAATGCAGAAGGAACAGCAGGAGTCAAGTTTTAGGCTAGCCATTTTTCATTATTCAGAATGTCTCAGGATGCCTGGGTGGCTGTGTCTGTTCAGCCTCTGCCTTTGGCTCCGGTCATGATCCCAGGGTCCTGGGATCAAGTCCCGCATCGGGCTTTCTGCTCAGCAGGGAGCCTGCTTCTCCCTCTACCTGCTGCTCACTCTGCTTGTGCTCTCTCTCTCTCTGACAAATAAATAAAACCTTTTAAAAAATGTCTCTGGGGCTCCTTGCTGGCTCTGTCGGTAGAGCATATGACACTTGATCTCAGGGTGGTGAGTTTGAGCCCCACATAGTGAAGATTACTTAAAAAATAATACAATTTTAAAATGTCTCCAATTCTATTACCACGATAGTGTTTCCTTCAAACACAGTCAGCTATGTGATTCTTTCATGGCCCTGTCTTCTCTGCCTTTTTGGACCAAACTGGTCCAAACTGGCTTTTGGTGCCAGTCTTGCTCATCCCAGGTCTCTGGTCCTGCACCTGCCTGGCAAACAGAGCATTTGGCTTTTGCACTTCTGAGCTCTCCCCTCAGCTGAGACGGGGATGGTGTTTTCCGAGACCTGCTACCACTAGCTGCCTTGCCCCTCTCTGGGCTTATTTCTTCCCCCTTTTCACTCCTCCTCCTGCACTCCTTTTGTCTGAACTCAGGGATTTTCAGTAACTTCTACATTTTTTTTTAATGAAGTCTGTGGATCATATCTGTTTCCTAGTTTTGCCGAAAGTGGCATTTGTATATTTAAAAAATTTTTTCCATTCTCCTAATTGCTCTTGGTTTCCAGAATAAAGGAAAATGCTGGCTTAAGCAGCAATGCTGAAAAGTCCTTAAGATTCTAATTTTTAGCTTCCCATTTCTCTTGACATTAACCTTGAATTACCCTGTATATTGTTTTTAAAATCATAGAAATGCAGCTTAAATAATGTTCTTTTATATTACATTTTAAAATTTGGTATTACAGTCTGCTTAATTTCAGTTAGATTATAATAGAATGAAACACTTATACTTCTATCCTTATCACTAACATGGTTCATGAACCCTAGAAATATTAGAACAGAAAATGCTCCTTCTTTTATGTCTTCTCTGAAACTTGAGAGTAGCCTCAGCAAGCTGATTCTACTACAAGTAACCAGATTCTAGTTAAAACTGTCCACAAATGCAAAATCTTACAGCCAAAGTTAAGAATAAAGCTCTGATTCCCAAGTTTCTGCCGATAAAAATATACATTCTGTAAGGTGGTTATAAAATTGCAACGTAAGGGCACCGTGATTAAAGAAGAAATGATTGTACATACTAAAATACGAATTACTGCTGTCACTCACCCGACCGTAGTCATAGAATCCATCACCAATTATGTTACTTGATGACAAATAGCCAGTCAGGCTGTATTTCAGAGACAGGTAGTTGTTGAGCAATTTGTTATAAGCTGCCTCACTGAATTTATTTTTCCGACTTACTGATAGATTAACTTCTTCAAGGATCTCTAAAGCCCTGTCAATAAGAGGGGAAAAAAAGCATTATTTGCTTTAAACAAGCAATCCAACATTAAGTTCTCATTTATATAACCGGCCAAGACCCTGAATGAAGAATTGAGATGGAAAGGTTAAAGTTATCTCACCCTATTAGATAAAGCAAGACTGACAGAATTATGAAGACAAATCAGTCCTTTTGAGAATATATATGCCACCTAGTGACTCATATTCAAACAGCTGAAAAGGATGAGCGGGGCGGTGGGGGGGGGGATGTTCTTCATTTAAAGCTGAAGTAGTATTGGGCTCCAAGTTTTCCAGCTAACCAGGCAACATCCACAAACACAGAGATGGTTAGAAGTAGGGTGACCCCATCCGTGGAACCTGAAAACCCTATTTGCCGGTGTGCTAAGGCAACTCGCTCACCTGCTGCGGCTGGAGAAACTATTCTGGTGAGGCTGGTGAATGCCTAATTCTGATGGAGAGGTCTGGGTAGAGGAGGGAGAGAAAAGGAGACGCAGTCATGGCTCACCTTTCATTTTCACTTCAAAAGTGGCGATGCAGAATTGCAGGTTAGCAATAGCAGGAGGAAAGAAAAGAGAGGGATTGATCAGGGTGAAGAGGTGGACAGGGAAATGGTGAAGATGGTTTTGTAAGCGTGCTGGGAAGACCTCCAGTTGGAAAGAATGGAGAGGCACCCCACCCCCCGCCACCGCCAGGCCGCCCCTTCCCAGGGAAGATCCACTGCACGGTCCCAGCTCTCGAGGGCTTGGCCTCACGCGAGCGGGAGTGTGGACTCTGCCTGACCTTCCTTGGGCCCGAATAATGTGCTCCTTCATCTTCTGCCCTTAATCTGAGCCCAAAACTTGAGGCTGCTCCACTCACCCAAGCTTGCACAATTCAACAGCCATCAGCTCATCGTTGGCGCAGACCATCACGGCCCAGCTGGCGTGCCTTCTCACTTCATCATTCTTGGAGCGCAGGAGCTCCACCAGCGGCCCCAGGCCACCTGAATTTCTTAACTGGACGTGGAAACCGAAAGTTTATGCATCGGAAGTACAGAATATAAACACTGATTTTTTTTTTCAAATCTCATTGGATTGTTAAATGATTTTAACCATGTAAGAACATTTTAGGATTTTTAGAATTGATTACATCCAGATTTTTAGAATTGATTACATCCAGGAAACAATTTATTACAAAACCTTAGAGACAGGAGCCCAGATTTCTGTTCAAGGTCAAGAGGAGGCCACAGTCAAATAATCGAGGGAGGTCACTGTGATTTTTTTTGCGTGGGAGGGAGACAGAGAGCCTGTCCTCCTGTTCCCCTGTGTTCATTGATTCTGCTCATCAACACTGAATGCTCATTTGGCCCTGTGGTAGACAGAATGATGGTCCCCCAAAGGTGTCCTTTTCCCTGGAAGGGATTTTGCAGATGTGACAAGTTAACAATTTCGAGATGGGGAGATTGTTTCGGATAATCAGGTGAGCCCAATTTAATCGCAAGAGTCCTTGTAAGATGGAGAGATGGGTGCCTGGAGCCAAGAACGGAGCCGTATAGACACAGAGATTGGAGTGGTACCCTCTGAAGTTGGAGGGAGGGGCCACAGCCAAGGGATGGGGGTGGATGGTAAAATCTAGAAAGGACAGACTTTCCCTTAAAGTCTCCCAAAGGAACATAGCTCTGCCAACACCTTGATTTCAACCCCTAATACCTGTGTTCAGACTTCTGACATCCTATACTATACGATAATAGATTTCCATTACTTTAAGCCATGATGTTGTGGTCATTTGTTACAGCAGTAATAGGGAAGGAATCCAGTCCCCAAGGCTGCGCAGGAGGAACCGAAACAGTGACACCAGGGGACCCATGTCACTGGCCACCGCCACCAAATCATCAGTGTGGCCAAAGAATTACCATAGCAATGCCCTAGAAAAAGACCGATTTTTGTTAATGCTGCATAGTGTCTTCTCTTCATTTCTCCCAGGAATGAGGAAGAGATAAAAATAATAATAAGAGAATTGGACAGAACTACATTAATTACACTGTTAAAGGAAATTCAGGTAATAAAGGCAATTATTCATGGATAAAATTATTCTAATCAGGGGAAGAAAAAAGATTTGACAGAGCTCTTTTCTCACTGTCTGAAATGCAACACTCTATCATCTGAACCTACAGGACAAAAAAAGAACATTCTACCAGTTTCTATGTGTAGTATCTAAAGACAAGGGCCATTATGGGGTATGATCCATTTGATCTATAGTCAGTCATTTTCCATCAATGTCCGGAGACATTTTCTTCTCAGGGATCACACTTTAGTACATGGAACATTATAGCTTCAAAAAGTTTACTGGAAGCATCTTAAGCTTAGCAACTCAAATTTCTGAACCTCTTTATTTCTGAGTATACGAGAAGATAGTCTAACTCTTCATGTGTTCTTGTGGCAAAGATCTAATTCATTGATTAATTCATTTCCCCATTCATTTAATGACTGTTCATTAAGCATGCCCTCTGTGCCAGATATCTATTAATGGCATGGACACAGGGAAGAAAAACTCCCAGGTCCCTTCTCTAAAGCCTCAAGGAGCTTATAGTCTTTCATACAAGAACCATATACGCAAAGCAGAGGACACGGGAAGCATGCATAGAGCGTAAGGGAAGCATAGAGGAGGGCAGTTACCAGCTTGAAGACTGAAGAAAGGCGTCATAGAAGACAGGATGGCTTGACATGAATTTTGAAGGAGAAGTGTGATTTTATCAGGTGGACAAAAGTGAGAATATTTCTCCAAGTGAAGAAATCAAAGACATATAAATAAGAGAACAGAGCATATGGACAGAATTACAAATAGCATGGGATTTCTGGACTATGGAGTTAAGCCTGGTAAGAGGCTTCAAGCAAGGTGGGTAGGTGCAGGCCACTGGGCGTCCTCGTCCACCATGCTAAGCTGCTGAACTTTTCCTCTGGGGTGATGGTGCACCAATGGCCACATCAATGATGTGATGATGATCATATATTTGAAAGATCAGTCTGGGGACAGTGTGGGAAGCAGGAGGTGGCAGGCGTAGGGAGAGCAGGAGACTTAGCTGCGATATTCCTGGAAGGAGATGGACTGTTCTGCAGACTGCATGGACGCAGAACCAAAGCGCTTTGATCGCCGTGTTGCTGAAGACTAGCATAGCGCCTGACATAGAATAGAGGGCAAATAAATATTTGGTAGTCTTGGGGTGCCTGGGCGGCTCAGTCCGTTGGGTGTCCAGCTCCTGGTTTGAGCTCAGGTTTTCATGATCTCTTGAGTGGTGGAATCAAGCCCCCTGTTGGGCTCCTCACTGAGCAGGGAGTCCGTTTAGGAATTCTCTCCCTCTGCCCACCCCCCCACTCTTGTGTGTGCACATATTCTCTCTCTAAATAAATAAATATTTTAAAAAATTTGGTAGTCTTAGTGCCTTAATGGATGAATACAAATGAACTGGAGTCAGTGGGAACAAAGAAGGGGATAGAATAGAAAGGGACTGTCTATTCTGCCCTAGGGGACAGAAAAGATTTTTTAGTTGTCTGAGCAGAGAACCCAGTGCAACAGCTTGGGCTCTGGATGGCATCCCTGATCTCCCAATTTACCAACTCTGCTGGGAGCACAATGTGTCTTTAAGCCTCGTTTTCCTCATCTGTAAAACGGGGATTACAAACATGCCCATCACAAGTGAGGCTTAAATGCTTGTAGAGAGCTTAGCATAGTGCCCACTGCCTAGTAAGTGCTCAGTAAGTGTTAGCTACTGTTACTTATATTGGCGGGAGAGGAACAAAGCCCTAAGATGTTTGAATGAGTGCCCTGTGACAAGTAAATAGGAGAAAAGAAAGAGAAAAAAAAAAGGATGTTTGTAGGTTTGCATTATTTTTATGAATAGAACAAAACACACTTTTATATGATACACTTGTAAAAAAAAATACAATTCTAGGTTTTAAAACTTTGAAATATACAAGAAACACGAGAGTATGTGGAACCCACCCGTATAATGTGACACATCATAGTAAAGGCACACCTGTTTGTCTACTGATCAGTTTAAGAAATGACACATTTAGATGACCTTGAACCCCTGTTTGTTCCTCTCAATTACATCCACTCCCTTGATTCCCCAAGAGGATTTCTTGACTTTGCGGTTAATCAAGGCCAAATCATTGACCTTTGCCTTTACAGTTGCAACTCACATGTATGTTTACCTAAACAATATCTTGCTTAGATGTGTATATTTCTGAATGCTACATAAATAGAATCCTAAGTTGTATTCTACTGCAACTTGATTTTGCTCAGCATTATGCTCCGTTGATGTCTGTAGCTATAGTTCATTTTCACCGATGTGAAGTTCCATTTTATGAATATATTACAAATTTATTTACCCATTCTCTTAAAAAATTAGACAATTGGTGTGTTTCCAGTTGCTTAGATATTAGAAACAATGCATCCTGGTGCAAAGAGGCAAGAGACTGTCCTAGGTAGAATTTAGAAACAGAACTGCCAAATTATACTGGATTAGAGGATTTGCTCTTCTTTGCTAGATAAAGCCAATTTGCTTTCCAAAGGGTCACACCAATTAAATAATTTTACCTTTTTAGAGTAGTTGTAGGTTCACAGCAACATTGAGCAGCAGGTGCAGAGTTTTCCCACACTCCCCTGCGCCCAGGCAGGAGCAGCTTCCCCATCATCAAAAACATCCCCTGTCGGACTGGTACATTTGTTACAACTAATGAAAGTACACTGACACGTTATTATCACCCCGTGCCCGTGGCTGAAGGGCCGCACCAATTTTGAAGGGTCTAAATGATGGGTAGGTTCAAACCCTTGAAAATGTTTCAAATTAATCCACGCATAGGCACAGACCCGAAAAATGAGCGGACAGACAAGCTCTCACCTCTGTCCGGGCCTCCACGTCGCACGCGGTTGCGGCCACCAGGAGAGCCGCCTTGCTCTGCACCACCGTGTTGGAGGAGCGGAGCGGGCCGATGAGCGCGTGCATGACGTCGTGGTTCTGCATGTTCACCCGCAGGGGCTCCTGCATCGCCATGTTCGCTAATACTGTAGCGGCGCTGGCGATGGCTCCGTCTCGTTTACTCGACAGGATGCTTATCAGTGGATCCATTGCATCGGCTTCAGCAGCAGCACTGGGTACATGGAAGAGAAATGCACGTCATTCATCTGAGTTCAAGAAACGGTCCTTGGAAGGTACAATGGAGCTTATTAAACAAATGAGTACATAAATACAGTTTTAGAAAAAAAAAAATTAACGTCCAATGCAATGAACCCAGACTTGAGGTGCCAGTGATTTAAGTGGAGTCTGGGAAAATGTCAGTTAAGAGTGAATTTAAATTATCCTTTTCCTACTTCTACAGCTTGTCATTATAGAAAAATGCATGACTACTTCTTAGAAACCCTCCTACAGCTGTTTTTTTTTTTAACTCAATGATACTTATAAGACCAAGAAATTTTATTCAAAGAAAGTCAATTAAGATATTCTCAACCAGTAGGAAAGCAAAATTATATATTTTTTATTCTTTTTTTTTTTTTTTTTCCCTTAGAGAGGAAGAACCTTAATCTTAATCTTAATCTGGGCTTCAATCTCACAGCCCTGAGATCAGGGCCTGAGCCAAGATCAAATGTCAGGCACTTAACCAACTGAGCCACCCAAGTGTCCCTAGAAAACTAAGCCTTTAAATAGGGGGAATGATTGAGTGGGAGATGCTCCTGGTTTGAGTTAAAACTCTTTTAGCTCATCCTCCCCCTTTAAATGAGGTTGTTAATTGTAGGCAGGGGTTAACACATTTGAAGCCAGCAAAACATTTTGGAGGTGAAAGCTGATTTACAAAGTAAATATCAAAGATCAAAGTCATAATATTGACATAACTAGTTTGAGTAATGTAGGCATATTCAGTTGCTTAATTTCCTATTTCTGCTATAAAAAGACCACGATTATCCATCAAATACATTAATAGTCTCGCAAGTAATAAGCCTCTTTTTAAGAAGGCCCTACTCTCTATAGTCCTTGCTTTCTAATCACTTAAAAAGTTCATAAAGTAGTAAAAATTAAAAAGGGGATCATTTTAAGAAGAGGTAGATGATTTAATTATGTTCTTTAATATTTGGAATTCTTTCAAATAAGAGATGTTCCAAGCCATAAGATATACAGAACATCCCACTTTCAAAGGAAGACCCCAAATTCTGTGTTAAAAACCCATTTACATCGTCATGGGAATAGAAGTAATCAAGACAATAAAAACATACCTGAGACTCCAATAACATGAACATCCCTTTACGTTTTATATCTGACAATTTTTTTCCACTTAAGATCATATTAAGAATGAAATCTGAAAACAAGTGAGGCTATAGGATTCAGCCCATCACCCTGTATTATGATGAATATTCTGATAATTAAATTTAATTCGGTAGTCACATTTGCTGATTGTGAAGGAGAAGTGACAATCTCGAGATTAGAGGTTATCACAACTGTCTGAGAGAGGGCACAATGTAAATGAAGAGCCGCCAGGGAGAAAGGAAGCTGTGATTGGCACTCAGACCAGCTCTGAAGTGGACCGAACAGCAGCTACTGGGCCGGGATGAAATGACCAATGAAGGCGGCCACTCTGGGGAATGCTGGGCTCTGTTGGTGTTAACCCTGAAGGCAGCTCCCACCCCTGGTTTGACTACATCCATCCAGAAAACACACTAGATTGCTATGAAGGCAAAGTCAGAGTTTGTTTCCATTTCTTCCCATAGTCCTTGGTACATATTTAATCCTTCCTGTGGGGTCTCCCATTCTTTCCGGGGAAGGCATCTCTTTAAAAATTGGTTAGATGACCTGTAACCAAAGTTTGTTTCTATAAAAATATAGGAAGGGCCTGCCTGTATCTCACTATGACAGCTTGAGGGCCAGCATTTGCCCTCCTTTCCTAGGGGACAAAATAAACACTCAAGATAATTTTACTTTCCATGCTCTCTCCTACTATTAATCAAACAGGGGTCATTTGATTGTATGAATAAGGAAAAATTTGGAGGCACTAGTACATTAGTTTCTCAGAAACTTCTCATATTTTGTACTTAGAGCTTAAATATTGAATTTTTTAAAACTGCCAGCAAGAATTTTAAGTTATGCATATTTTCTAATTAATATAGACATAAACCTATTAAAAATTGTTTAATTTCTTTGACTTATTTTTCATGTACTGAATGCAATCAGTCCCTTCAACCAAAATACTTTGTACTTCGTAACCACTGGAAACATGCCTCAGTTAGAAGGCACGATTCCTCTGTCACTTAGTGATTTTTCCCTTGACAATGTTCACTTTTTAAAGCGTCCTGGAGAATCAGGGAGGAGCATACAGTGGAGGTGTTTCATTGCAACCATGTTAGAAGCTGCAAGTATTGTAGGAAAGCGCCTACCAGTACGTTCTCCAGGGCTGTGTCTTTTGTATGCTTCACGGGTTTTCTGGAAAATTTAAGTGAATACATAGGATCACACTTTGTTGTTTGATTTCTCTTATTTATTAAAAAACAAAACAAAACAAAACAAAAAACAGGCTGCAAGCTCCCAGAATATTTACCAGATGCATCTCTGCTCACTGCCTTTGTGCTTGTGTTTGCTTCCTCCTCTCTCCTGGACAAAGACGTATTTTGCCTTGGTTCATTTTTATCTCTACCTTCTGCTCTTTTCTGTGCTCTTTATGAGCCAATAAGGAGAAGTACACAAAACCCTAGCTGTTTAAGAAACGGGAGATTCTAGTACACAGTGGAATATAGCTTTTACTAAATTGAACATAACTTCCAGCACCGAAAGACAGATCGCACACATGCAGCTGGGAGAACGAGCTGCACTGTGTATACAAACCTGCCCGTAATGTGCTGTGTGCCGTCTGGTTAGGTGTAAAAAGCATAAGCGAAATTAAGTTATTATGGTGAAAAAAAAATCAAGCTATTATTCTTACAAAAAAAAAAAAAACCTCATTTCATTATAGAAATAGAGCACAGAATTTCCTTTTTTTTTTTTTTTAAAGAATCGCATTAATTCTGTGTTTTAAACCCAAGACATTCTGTTTTATTTTTCTCTGTGTCTGATAATGTACACAGGCTGGAGCCTGTCATATTTTAAAAACACATTTCTGTTTCCTAGATAGTATGGCATTATCCAGATAAACGGGACAGAAGTCAAACTGCTTTGTTACAAAATCCAGAATTATAGGGCCATATGTCATCATGATAATCTGAAAATATTTTGATTCTTACTATCGTGAACCTCCATCAGTTGGAGTTTCATCAAGTAAGAGTTTAAAATGTACATTTCAAAAAAAATGAACTAAAACCCAAATATGGAAAAGTATAAAAACATCTGTTTATATCAGTTGATGTATGTAAACAGAAGTGAAATTCGGCATGTCGTGTGTAACCAATTTATTACCAAGTCCTGACTCTTTTCCACCTCCCTATTTCTCGAATCTCTCTCTTCTCTCCAGCTCCGTCTCTTCGATCGAATCCATTCCATCAACCCCTTGTGAATTGATGTGCTCTTCTAACAGGTCTCTCCTCCCCCCACCCCCCCCGATCCTTTCTCCAGCTTACAGCCAAAAGAATCTTTTAAAATAATTACCAGATGATTATAATTATATACATCATCAGATTTCTCCCCTCTTTAAAATATTTCTGGGGGCACCTGGGTGGCTCAGTGGGTTAAAGCTTCTGCCTTTGGCTTAGGTCATGGTCCCAGGGTCCTGGGATCAAGCCCCGCATCGGGCTCTCTGCTCAGCGGGGAGCCTGCTTCCTCCTCTCTCTCTCTGCCTGCCTCTCTGCCTACTTGTGATCTCTGTCTGTCAAATAAATAAATAAAATCTTTGAAAAAAAATAAAATGTTTCTGGTTTCTCATTGCTCAGGATGAAGCCCTAAATTTCCCACATGGCTTCTGAGGCCCTACATGAGCCCACCTGCCTCCCCTGCCGGCCCACACCCCCCTCACCTGTCCCCATGGCTTTGTGCTCAGGGCCTCTCTGGCAACCCGCAACACGCCAGGCTCTGGCTTATCCCTGGGTATTCTCATACACCCGCCGTTCTTAACTTCCCGATGAACTCTTCCTCCTGATAATTCCCAATCACCTTGCCAAGCTCAGCACAAGTGCCTCATCCCCAAGTTAGCATATCTTGAGCCCCAAACTAGATACCAGGTCTCTTTTCCCCACGAGCTCAAGATTATTTGTTTGCGAAACATATATACATTTTTAAAAAAATGCTGTTTTGGCACAAAGGGTCCCACAGAATGGCAACGATCTTGAAATATTCTGTTACAGAAGCTTGTTGTGTAAAGGACTGACCACAAGGCTTTTTGGTTGAATCCCTGAGCCCCACAGTGAAAAAGCACTTAGAGGAGGGGCACTAAGAATATGGTTAAGGAAAAATACAATGACTGTACACACATAGTGTCTGTTTACGGCTCACTGAAAATACTATACGATTTCGTGTCTGTGTGTCTTTGCATTCATGGTTTCTCTGCCCGAAAGGCCTGGTCCTACCTGTCCACATCCCTTTCCCAGGGGAACCGTAGTTCGCCCTTCAGAACCCACTCAGCTGCCCCTTCCGCTGCGGTCATTCTTGTCCATCCCCACCTCTCCTTGTTACTCACTCCTTCCTCTTGCTATATCTACCCCCAGTCCCCACGTCTTGAGTCTTATTTATATCCCCAGTGCTGAGAAGATCAATATATATAAAGTGACTTGACTCCACTCAAGGGGAGCGATGAAGAAAACCTCAGGAGGAGTCGAGGGAGGGTGAGGGGAAAATACCCAGTTCCGCTTTACGGTTTCAAGAAGGCACAGGACCAAAAAAAAAAAAAGAAGAAGAAGAAGGCACAGGACCCCAAAGAATTGAGATCTCTGCTTGGAGCACTTACAGCAGCTCTCCCCAACCCCAACTCTTCCCTAATTTAATGAAGGAATTTTTATATGGAGTTTAGGTAATAACATCTTACACTTTAGAACACGTCTTAGGGATATGTCCATTTATAAACCAAAGGATGTCCCCGTTTTGTCTTTGCAGACGTGGGCGGCTCCATTCATCTGGGTGGTGTCACCAGGTGACCCTCTTCGGTAGTTCTCAGAAAATCCTGGCTGCGGTGTGGAGATCCCA